TGATGAGATCCTTAGGTTGTCACGAGCGGGTAAAATTTTGCGGATTTCAAAACGGAGGTCATGGGTCCTGTGGGCCCGGTTGACCTAATTTGGGAAGTTTGATCGCCCGGTTGACCGAGTGTCTCCCGAGGCTTTTCCATCGTCCGATTTGGGTAGTTGGACCTTAGAACGTCTCATTCCTCGTACATTCACTAGAAACCCAGGAAACTAGATTTTTAATTCAAAATTCTGTTTCGAAGCGCTTGATGTTAATCGCGTGTTCGTATTCTGAAATAGGTACTCCGACCACGCATACGCAGCAGGCGGGACCCTCTTAAGGTCAAGCAGCGTGAGACTACTTGTGAGTGGACTTTGTTTTTAAATAATATGCATGGTTTTATGATGGGAAAATTTATGCATAATGTTTAATGGTATATTTGGATATATTATTTATTCAATGGTGGAAATTGATATTTTTATGAAGTATTGGCATGTATTTTGGGTTTTGATATATTTGAGTATCTTGAGTATATATATATATATCTTGAGTATATATATATATATATATATATATATGGATTTTGAGAATCTCTATATATGTTTGGCTATGTGTGGGGTACTTGAGTTGTTAAAATGAGTTTGTGGAAAGAGTTGAGTATTGAAATATCAGTTTGGAGTGCTTTAAGAACTATCCTATGTACCTCTCCGGATTTGGAACTTGGTTACTGATACTTGAGATACTTGGAATTGTCGGAACCTGGGACATCCTTGATGGGATGTTGCTGTAGACCCTGGTTTTGGGGTAGTCTGCGCTCGTAGGACTGGTTTTTTTTTTTTTTTTTTTTTCAGGCATACAAGCTTTGAGTGTCTCGGTTGTACGTGCTAGCGGAGAGTTAGTCCACCAGTTGGACGGCTCGTTCCCTAGTCACATGGTGAATTGAGGAATGGCTCTGCCATGTGGACTAGTCAAACAATCCCTCGGTTGGATTGTTTCCCCGGTACAACTAAATGTTGGTTATATTTATATATATATATTAATTATATTATATATTATATATATATGAATATTCATTCGTTCTTGTTTCTCGGTAAGGATACTTCCTTGCCGGTCGTGCCAGTGGGTAAGTTTTCGAGAGTTTAATTTTTCGGGGCTTTTAAGTTTTGAATGGTGGGTTTGTGAAGTGTTGTTCACGGATTTCGGACTTGGTATCCGGTATTATTTTAGCATATGTTTATATACTTGCTTATGACGATTTTAAGATGCATTTGGAATTCTTGCATGATTTTCTAACAGTGGGGGTTATATTACATTGATTTATTTGAACTAAACTTTATTTTTTTTGTCCACTCACAATTTTCTGTTTTGCGCCCCCCAGCCAGTAGTGACTGAGCTCCGCAGTCGAGCCGGATCAGGTGCTTCCGAACCTTGAGTCTTTGTAGGGACTCCTTCATCTTTCTTTTCCAGTGGAACTCTGTTTCTGTTGTATTTGAATTTCTTAGATATGTTCTGTATCGCCTGCTTAGGGTTTGAATTGTGAGGCCGAAGGCCTTTGTTGTAAACTGTTTAACTGCTTTTAAAGCATGCTACTGGTTGAGTTTATTAACTGTAATTTTGAGCAGGTTGAAGTTTGGGAATGTTCAATTTAGAGGGGAGACTCTGCCAAATTTTTTTGGTTGAAAGTCTTGGTCTTTAGTAAATGGGCCCGTCATCGGGGTGATGTCGGTAATTAGGCGGGGTCCGTCCCAGTTTCCGAGGAAATTCGGGGCAGGTCCTGTCATTTGAATTTAATTCTATTGGAATTTTCATGGGTAGATGACCCATGAGAAAAATTGGAAATTAATGGGTAAGTGTGACCCACTAATTGAGAATTTGTATTTGAGAGATTTGAATTTCATCCCATTGAAATTTGCATGGATAGATGACCCATGAGAAAATTTGGAATGGTTTTGTACCATTTTTTTTTATTGTCAATATCAAAGAAAACTAATGGGCAATTATATGAACCCACTAATTTAATTTGATCATTGACACATGCATTTGTATCCATGCATGATTTGGAGGATTTGAGATTAATGGGCTTTTGTGATCAACAAAACCCATTAATCCATATTGATGCTCCTATAAAATCTTTTGGGAGTTGAGCTTGATGCTCGTCGCATGACCAATCATTTATTTGGACTGGAGTCACCGTCACAACACAGTTGAGTCACTTGGCATTCTTTTCTGAATAGCTTCTTTGCCACAATGGTTTATTCCCATATTTCTTAGTGTGGCTTTTGAAGTGGTTTTGTACCACTTGACATCTGGTGTGGTTTTGTACCACTTGATTCTTCACTTAACAATTTGAGGATTAATATGACCTTTTTTATTTGAGCCCATTAATCCATATTGAGATGAGCCCATTATGTCTTGATATCCACTTTGACATTAGACCATTGGGTCTTGAGATACTTGCTCGTATTTGACAGTCCAATATATTTTAATGGGAAGAACTTGGACTTTACGTCTTGGGTTCTCGGATTTATTGCGTGGTCTTTGTACCATCCTGTCGTTGAGTTGATTTTGAATCTGAGAACTCATTTACAACTGGACTTAGGATAAAGATAGTTACACGCCAATGGCACTGAGAATCGCCTTGAATGCGTTTTGAATATATGGGCCATGAAATTCTGAAACTTCACTTTTGTATCAAAGAAGAAACCATATTGTTTCTTCCCTTATGGAGCTTCACGTGGTGGGCTCACCAAAGGGAGCTTTCTCCCTTTTTATCTGCAACAACATTGCTCTTCATGCCTTCATGTGGTATGTTCACTACAACAAACAAATCTTTCAGCTGCAATTCTTGTTGTGGGGGCCATAGAGGTAAGGAAACTTGGGATTGCATGCCCAGTTGCCTTATTATTCTTGTGTTTGCTGTAGGGAGCAAGACAAAGCAATTTGTCTTTGTTTGTGAATTGGTTGCTTTCAAATTGGTGCTTTGCGGGTGACGTAAGACCAACAGGGATAAACTTCAACAATGGTTGTGGCTCACCACCACACCCATCTTCATCTCGGAAAATCCAAAGTCCGAGGCAAACCCCTGCTCATGATTTCCTTGCAAAGACACCACATTTGATTTTGTTTTGTGATGATTGAAATCGTCGTGACAATCCCCACAGATTGAACTTGTTTTTGAGATGCTTGAAGGCATAGTAGAGAGACCCAACGGTCTTGCTTGCTGTTTGGAATGATGAAACCGTGAAAGAAAAGTGATTGTGGCCTCATAGCTTGGTGCCATTAACAAGTGTCTTTTAATTTGATTAAGACACCCAAGGATAAAAGTCCTGTCCAAGTAAAATATGAATTAACCTCCTTGTTGATTTGGAACCCCTGGATCTTCCAGGAAAGTAAGCCCCTTGTCCATATAGGATTGGGCTATATGCATTTCTTTTATATAAAGAAAGACATGTGTACCACAAGTTAAGATCACCAGCAAACAAAACGAATGCTTTTGATATTCTTTCTTTGTTTGCTTGTTGTACACTTGCACAAGCCACCTGTTGCATCATCAAAAAAAGAAACAAATTGTTTCTTCCCCTCTGGGATTTCACGTGGTAACCCACATGCCTATCTTCCTGTTTTTTTTTTTTTTTCCAGTTCCATGCTTGTATGGATTTTATAGAGATGAGCTCCTCTTTGTTGACTTGCTGGCAGCAAGTGTTTCATGTGGAAGGCAATTCAATTGCTGTGGGGGTCTTTTTGATTTGTTGAGGTGAGTCCTTGATTCCAAGGACCTGTTAGCTTGCCATAAAAGAATAAGTCCCTCTTGCTTTGTTTCTTTGCTTTTTTGGACTTTCACCACATCCCCTTCTATTTTTTTTTCCTTCTGTTTTTCTCCTTCGCAAGGAAGGCTTTGTTCTAGACTCCGTAATGGAATCACCACATCATTGTCCATTCTTGCTTTGCTTTTTGCTTGCAGCCAAGTCAGACTTGGAGTTGTGACTTTCCCTTGTGACGGGTTTGAGATAGTTTCCACCATCATATGAGATCAATCCTTCCGGATAATTTTGGGTGCTTTACACATCGCAATAACTTGTTTTGGATGCTATAAACATCACCAAGAGAGAGGCCTTGCAGTGGATTTGTGAATTTGCTCTGTATTTTTTGTACAGCAGGAGCAAGGTCCAGCAGAAGCCATGGGAGTATACTTTGCTCCGGTGTTGTTGCTTGCTTTTCTCTCCTCCTGCGGCTTTCCCATTTATCTACACTAACTCCTGCCATTTTCCATATTTGTACCAACAGATTTGAAACCCCTGCAAAGAACAAGAAAGAACAGAAGCCACCTTTACAGCAGAGCCAACAAGAGATGGATCCCTTTCCAATAGACATCAAAGCATAATAATCCCCTTCCACCACTCAGTGGCATGTATATAAAGACCGGTCCAAACTCTTTTGAACAATGAGCAGCTCAAAACTGCTGATATTTTGGTGTTTTGATTGTTGCTTGGTTTATTAAAATATGGTCAATATTTTGACATGACATGCAGCATATAGAACATGTTATTAGTGTATTTTTGTAACTTGCTAAACAAAGCATGATGCCACTGTTTAGATCTCCATGTCTATATAAGTTGTAAGGGGTATTTTTGGCATGAAAAACTTGATTTCCTTTCACCCTTCTCCAATCCCACCGCCCCTCTAAATCTCTTTAATATAAGGAATCAAGAATCAAATTTGTTGATGTTGCTGTTTATTCCGCCAATGTAAGTAAACAAAGGAGTCATCCGGAATAACCACAAGGTGTTGTGTGGTTGGCAAACTGCCACCTCCAATTAGCAAACTATCTAGTGCCTCAATAACAGGGGTTTGAAATCCATTGGAAGTACTTTGTGGTTAGGGGCAAGCCGAACCTTGAGCAAGGATTAATCCCACCCTTTGGATATGGGGACATCGCGTGGTATTTACTATAAAAATAAATAAATAAAAGGAGTCATCCGGAATGGGAATGACTCCCATGCTACCCATTCCGGTTATGTAAACATGTTCTTAATTCCTTGAACATGAAGACGAGAATCAAATTTCCAGCCTCAACTAGCATATTTTTATTCCTTTGTGAAAGAAAAGGTCATTGTCACGTCTCTTTTTCTTAGAATAATACGAATGGTACATGCATACATGGAGTCGGAGCTTAATCCACCATCTATGTATCAAGTATTCTCTTAATTGCTATGCATTTCACAAGCTTTAAGAATCTTTTTGGTTTTGTTTTTGTTTTTGGGTCTCACGCCAGATTGAATTTGAACAATTCCAAGATCACTCCAAACCAAACAGAATTTCACAAAACCCTGTGAGATAGCATAAGCATGCATAGCACCCTTTTTTGCACAAAGAAATTTAAGGAAATATAATGCAGCTATGCAGATTACGTTGCAGACATATTGCAAAACATTTTCTTTTACTAGATAGATGGTCTTGGATCAAGCATAGGCATATTGAATTACCTGAGAAATAATTTTGATGATGATGGTGGTGATTTTGCAGTGGTCTTCGAAGAGTGGGTAGCATCAATGGTTCACGCACGCAAGGCATTACAAGTTTTGGAAAGCAGAAATGGGGTCTATGTGTTATACATGGAACGAGTCATAGGTGAGTTGGCAAGGCATGTGGGCCTAAATATGTCCCTGCACACGCTCAAACGCGAAATTCTTGATAGCCTGTTTTTCTCCCACTGACTGCCCCAAATTCTTCTTTCTTTCTTATACTCTTGAGTATGAGACTCGCTCTAAAACAAAAAAATCATGATTTCCGATTTGACCGAATTTTTGTACGTATCTTTGTTGGGTTTCCAAATCCTTTTTTTTAAAATACAAATACAAACACCGTCTTTGGTTGAGGAGGATCTTATTAGCAAGCAATTCAAAGAAGATAAGAGCGACGTTTAGCTGATATCACAAATGACAATGCTAATTCTTTTCATTTCTTGTCTATAATAGATGCCGTGGACCTATTTGTCACGCATAATTTACTGATGGGTGAAGTGAAGATAATATAGATTACTGGTATGTCGACAGAAATGATTCATTGTCGCTTGTGCGCCTAGTCCTTTTCTTCACTGGGATTCTTTCCTTCCTTGTGGCATGGTCCCATTGCATCTTCCTTTCTTCTCCTATATCAAAACCGCATTCAATTAAAATTCATTTGTTTAATTAATTGTCAAAGATATTTAAAGCTTTCGTCTGAATTACACTGGACACCTTTGCCCACACGAAGAGACCTATTCATGCAGCCCGTTCAACTTTGGCGTCTAATCTATAATATCCCTATGTTATATAGTATTGGTGAAGTAGTAGAACTTATTTAGCATATTGCTTAACGCTTAACAGCAGCAGCAGAAGAGCAGGCCAGGGCAAAGCAAGAAGGCAGACATGTTGAATGAGATGAAACCACGCTGCATACTCGGTCTCTCGCTCCTTCTTCTTCTTCTAATATTCTGTCAATCGCTTCCAAGTTCAGCCCATGGAGATGGAAGTAGAGGTGGTACAACAACTACTAGTACTATTACTAGGGTGGTTGTTGTTGGGGAGCAGCAAATGCAGAAGCAGCAGCAGCAGCCACCACTGCCAGCTGCAAATTACCATGGCAGTACTTTGCTTCACACAACTCGGAAGCTTAAGCTTGGGGTTCACATGAAATTAACCCGTAGCGTTCCAAAGGTTCCTCGTGTCAAAAAATCATCCGCCATTCCAACTCAGATGACACCTTCTCTTCCTGTCGCTTGTTTTCTTTCTGCATTATCCCTCCTTTCTTTTTTTCTGTTATAGGATAGGAGGAGCTGGAAATCATAATACCTGCTAGAAATATCATGTTTGTTTCCAACAACAATCATCATCAATATAAGCTTGAAATATTATGTTTGTTTCAATTGGCAACAAGTTACAAAATTACCATTATTCTTTTCTTTACATGCATGTATCATGTATGTACGAATTGGCTGCCTACTTTAGATTTAGAAAGTTGAATTATGATTCCTAACCCAGTCCCGATAATCAATCTCCTTTTATTAGGGCATGTTTATTAATCAAGAATCAGCGTAACTATGAATCGGTAACCAAGAATTGGAGTCATGCATTCTATTTAAGCTGTTCTGTCATGAATTGGAATGAAAATAGAGTTCATTCGCATTAAAATGTTTACTATCCATCATGAATCGAAATGAAAAACAATTTGATTAAGAAAATGCACTTAAACAAAATATGTTTTTTTTTTCAAAGATTACTACAAATTTTCATATGAAAAAAAAAAAATTGTAAGGGGTATTTTTGGCATGAAAAACTTGATTCCCTTTCACCCTTCTCCAATCCCACCGCCCCTCTCTGAAATGAAATCTCTTTAATATCAGGAATCAAGAATCAAATTTGTTGTGTCCCCATGTTGCTGTTTATTTCGCCAATGTAAGTAAAGAAAGGTGTTATCCGGAATAACCACAAGGTGTTGTGCGGTTGGCAAACTGCCACCTCCAGCTAGCAAGCTATCTGGTGCCTCAATAGCAGAGGTTCAAAATCTATTGGAAGTACTTTGTGGCCAGAGTCAAGCCGAACCCTGAGCAGAGATTAATCTCACCCTTCGAGAATGGGGACATCTCGTGGTATTTACTATAAATAAATTTAAAAAAAGAAAAAAAGAAGTCATCCGGAATGGGAATGACTCTCCCATGCTACCCATTCCGGTTATGTAAACATGCTCTTAATTCCTTGAACACGAAGATGAGAATCAAATTTCCAGCCCCAACTAGCATATTTTTATCCCTTTGTGAAAGAAAAGGTCATTATCACGTCTCTTTTTCTTAGAATAATACGAATGGTACATACATGGAGTCGGAGCTTAATCCACCATCCATGTATCAAGTATGTCGTTCAAATAGTTATGACCTCTGAGACTGAGACTGAGTCTGATTGTTAAAACCCTTGAGGACAACATGACAATCTCTTCAAACAACACCAATTAGTTTTAACTCATGGATCACCACCGCCACCCTCCTAATTACTAATTATTAGTTCCGGGTAGTATTTATTTACTGTATATTTAGACCTAGTCGGAGGAATTTCAGAGGTTGCTAGCTTCCTTGGTTTATATAGTATACATACTTTCCTTCCACCCATCGAATCACTTTGACTTTACAGACTTGAGAAAAGCCAATCCTCTTTTCTTTGAATTGAGGCCTCTCCAACAAATAAGGCATCGCATTTCGAAGTGATTTCTTCATCTTGCTTTCAGAAAGAAAGGGTCTGTTTTATTCCTTTAAGAAAGGAGTGCTTGTATGGCTTTACACCTGCATTGTGAATCAATACTTAAATCTCTGGAGAGTGCAAAACAACACATGCATCACGCATATGCCAGTTTTATTTTACTACTGATTAATTAGAATCTGTCTTTATCCACCGGCCACGAAAACCCCATTCAACTTTTTTAATTTTCTTTTCCTTCTCCTTTCTGTTTTTGCTTAGTGCTTCATTCTAAACAGAGAGTAACAAGTCTATTTAAGTGGCCCTCTTCCTCAGCTCCTAACTGTGGAACTTAGTTACAAATTAGAACCCAATTGAGAGGACATGAGGAGGAGAGACTTACTCATATGCTCCTTTTCCATTCTGTGCCTCCTGGCTCAGTCTACACGTGAAAGCGCTTTCACACCTACAACTGGAGATTCTGGACCTCTCAACCAGCATGATCAACTTAAGGTTAAGGGTAAGCATAAAAATTCTGTCTTCATAGCTCAATTGATCCCGTCCTTCTTTTCCCTAATTAATATCGTTATAAGCTCTGCAGATATACATGAAATGACGACAAGATCAAGTAGAAAAAGCCATGAAAGACCATATGGGAGAATGCATCAAGTTCATCATCTAAGGACTTCCCAGAAAGCAAGGGCAATCTATGGTGGTGCCTCTGACCTTAAGCGCCCCCGTACCAACCATAATGCAGCAAGCTCTATACCCGTTAAATCCACCCTCGCTTTATTCCTCTCGGCACTGGCCATGCTTATATTTACTTTGTAGTAATTTTAATTGCTTGGGTGATTTCGCAAACATGATTGAGGACTCAATGTGGAAGTTGTGATAAAACTCATTCATGTTAAAGGCCTCTTTCTAAATCCATTGCCCTAACCTGCTTCTATCTACATCCTAGAACATCACTTATTGAAGAATTATTTCAGAAATTTCTTCCCTTCTTCCCCTGTTGTTCATGCAAAGCAAAGCAAAGAAAGAAGGGAAGAAATTTCTTTCTTCACCAAAGTGCATATCAATACTACCGAAAAAAACAGAAACAAAAAAGCGAGTGACAAGACTATGTTAAAAAGGAAGGCAGAAACATGGTTAACATTTCTTCACCTTGTCTGCAAAATTAAAAGTATGATACAAACTACGAAGTGGAAGCATTCGTATTACTAGATGGTTGTTTATACATAAATTCCATAAAATCTGAATTATTAATACATGACAAGATTTTAGATAAGTAGAAGTCAAATAGATACAGAACCTTTTTAAAGAGCTTCACACACCAGCATACAATATGTTTTCCCACAATTGATCAGATCACCATAGACTTGGTCATACATATTTTATTTCCAAGCTTAGCAGTTTAGATTCTGAAAACATCTGTCTGGAATCTCTCGTCATACAGCCTCCAATGGCCATACCTCTCTGTATGGAACACTGACCTGGGGATGTAAAAATTTGGCTTCTTTATCTCCTTCAAATTCTTCAGATTGGATGTTGCATTCTCAATATCGCGACTGGTCAAGTTTACACACCCAAACAAATCCAAGTACTCAAGATTTGGACATCCTACAGATATCAAAGCAAACCCTTTAGCCGATACCTTGGAGAACCGAAGTTCCAGGTGCTCCAAATTGGGCATAGATTTGCCAATTGCAGCAGCTTCTGAATTTCCATCCTGAGGGCAAGTTTTTAAGTACTCATCAGGAACTACCCCAGCGTGCTCGGAAGGATCTAACCAATTCATTAAATTCCTTTTCAAGATTTTGAGGTTTGGGCAATTCCTTCCAATCAACACCAGAGACTCATGAGATATTTCATGGCAATAGCTGATGTCAAGTTCCCGGATCATGGGGCACCGAAAAGCTATGTCAGCCATGGATGAATCAGTTACATTCGGGCAGCACTTGATTGAAAGAACCTCGAGGTTCGGGCACCTAAAAGCACATACCGATTTGGCAATTTAAATTACAACCAACCAGTACCAACCTATGGAAAGTTTAAGATGGCAACACGCCAAACTTCATGAATCAAATTAACAAATAAAAAGTAAGAACCGAAGCTTCAAAATGCAAATTTGGCAAAAACACACTTTTACCGTCCGGTCAGGCTCTAAGTCTTAACTCTAAAACAAAGAAATTTGAAACCAACCGTAGATGCTGAAAACATTTTCAATCAATTTAGGCTAGTCTCATCATAATTCATAATCCAAACCTTCCTGACGAATAACTCTACATCTAACCTTAAGCACACCATGCACAAATCAAGAGCAGAATTTTAGGCCGAAAACACATAACCAAGAAAGAGGGAAAAAAAAATTTAGCACCCAACGCAACTAATTCCAGGCCACAGACAATCAAAACCCAAAATTGAACAACAATAACCAGCTTTGTCTAATTCAAAATAGATAAATAAATTTCGTCTGGTTATAGAAATGATGATATATATATTTATATAGGTTGTAAGGGTACCTTTGAGCGACGAAAGAGAGAGAGTGATTAGAGCAGTGGGTGGTACGAATGTGTCGAAGCGAGCCAGCGCTCCAATCAACGACAGATTGGAGAATAGAATCAACCCTTCTCTCGAACTCCGGGGTCCACCAGCGAGCGGACTCGAAGTGAGGCTGGAGGTCGAAGGCGGAGTTGAGGCAAGGCTCCTTGCACGCCTGCAGCCATGACTTGCAGACCAGCATCGCCCCACGCCAGCGCTGCTCCAGGCTAACCCGACCCAGTATGTTGATCAGGCACTCCTGGGTCAACTCGGCCCAGTCCGATCCGGACTCGGGCACTGTTTCTTCCTTGTTGGTTGTGTCCATTAGTTACTTTTGCCGGTTGGGTGGGTTGGGTTGGGGGAGAAGAATGAATGAGAGAGAGAGAGAGAGTGCGTCATGTGCACGGGCAAGTTATATAAATATGGACTATGGGTATGGGTGTAGATGTCATTTTACGTCGAAGATAGTTCCAAAATTTACCACGTGTCGCTGTTGTGGCTCACTACTACTCTTCTGCCTACGCCTATGCCTATGCCTATTCCTATCCTATCCCAGGATCAAGGGCGGCTCCTCATCATGAACTCCGCTTGTTTTTTGATCTTTTTAGATGAAAACTTTTTTTATGAGCACATGATGATTCCATTCATGTACTAATAATGTAAGAAAAATAGTTTGCAAAGAGAGAGAGAGATTAAAATTATATATAAAAATACCCAAGTGGGTTTGATCTAATAAAAATTAAACGAGCTAGGCCACACATGTTGGGTGAATGTAATCGAGATTCTCAATGAGATTTTAAGTTGGATCATCCGCAGGTGTAAAGAACCTCTTACATTTAAAAATTTCTCCTTAAGGTGAGCTTTCTTTTAACCCATACTCGGCTCGAAGAGATAGACCCTACCACCTTTTTTGTAACAAAAAGAAAAAGAAAAAGAATATATATAAAATTGTTCCATTCGATTAGAAAATAATAATTAAAAAAAGGTTTGTATAAACTTCGGTGTATAAAGAAATAATTTGATTTCCTTTCCCTTTGAAGTAAAGCGTGCTTAAATGCATGTATATGCATATTTGCAGCTGCCAAGACAAGAGAAAGAGGAAGAGGAGCACTAGTAACAACTTGAACTTTTTTTTTGGTCTGAAGTAACAACTTGAACTTGATGCATGCAGGCTGCAATTCATCTCCCAACAAAAGGCTGCTGCTTTATGGTCTCTACCCTGGAACAACAAGAGGGACACAGAGAGAGAGAGAGAGGGAAAGGGAGATGTTGAGATGCTCTCATTTGGTTTTTGTCAAAAAAGCAAGCAAAAGAAAAGAAAAAAAGTGCCTCATATCATCACATCATAGTAGTCAAGTCATGAAATTAGTCTCATCAATCAATCAATCAATCAATCAGATAATCTGGTAGACTGGTAGACTGGTAGATAGACTGGTAGACTGGTAGACTGGTAGACGGGTAGATGTTGTCTGGAATTAAATTCAAGGAGTAGGTCAATATATCATATCTATCTGTTGGAGCCTCTCCTTCCTCCTCCTCCTCCTAGAGCTACAATACAAGTGATTTACAAATAGAAACCGACAGAAGGGCTTGATGTTTGTTTTCTATCTAAATTCACAATTCTCCTCCCTTGTGATGGACAGACATTATGCACATCTCTGGGATGGGCTATATATCATCTTCAACCCTAAACACAATTACTTACTTGCTCTCCAAATTGGGATTGGCTTGCTCTTCCCGTTAGCAGCAGCAGCAGCAACAACCAAGCAACTGAGTATAATCTAATGTGTAAGTTTACCCATACCATTACCATACATAAAGAGTTGAACAAGGCAGCTTTCGATTTCGAGCCTAAGATTTGCAGTCATCATGCACTCGTAAGTTGTACTCTCTACTCTACTCTACTCTAGGAGGGTCACATTTGGTGTGTGTCTAATGCCTAAGATTTGGATTGAATTGGATAACTTAATAAATTTCTGTTGAAGGAAGATGGTTGAGATTAACTCATTCCTTTCAACACCCACAAAACAAAATGCTAGGATTATCAGTCTAGAAAACATGCATCTACCTACATAGAAAGTTGAGAAATAATCAATGAATGAATCATGTTGTGTGTTTTTATGTGTGTATCCAACAAATTCAGATTTCTGAGTGACTACTACTCTACTCACAAACAAATCATTCATTCCGTTTTCATTTTATTATTAATCCTATATAAACAAACAAGGCTACAAAATATCAAATCAAAGATCCCTTTTGATAAAAACATAATAATGCGGAAACATGTTGTGCGTGTTGAATTCATAAGACAAAGACATAATAATTATAATAATAATAAAATTAAGGTAAGAGGGAGGGAAAATAACTGAACAACGGAAACAAGTTAGGCGGGGGAGGCATAGAGGGGACGGCGGTATTCATCAAAGTACTCGTCGCGATCCACGAACACGATGGCATAGAGAGCGTAGATGATTCCCGGAACGTAACCAAGCAAAGTCAACAGCAAACATATGCAAAACTCAATCTGCAAGCAAACCAAATTCACCATTTCATATCAAATCAAATCAGCCTCTCTGACACTTAGCTTTAATTTATGATGGGCAAGAAGGATAAGATGATGAGGGTTAAAAAGGCTTACAGTGCAGCAACCGTGTCTTAGACAAACCCCTAAGGGAGGGATCAACACGGCGATCAGAATTTCACAGAAGATCTCACAGCGACTCGGCATCTTCCTTCCTTCTATCTTCTTCTTCTTGTTTGCTAAAAACCAAACCAAATCAAACCACACAACACCACAAACAGAGAGAGTCTTCGAGTCTTGAGTTGACTAACCCGGCCTCTGGGCTCTGGGTTCTGCCTTGGCCTATTGGGCCTCAATTTAATTCTACTGGGCCATATTATATATTTCCAGGGTCAAAGCCCTCGATAGTTTGATGCAATGATTAAGGGATAGACCTCATCTAAGACCCCCACGAATGACTCGCTTGCCGCAACACTTTATTATAGGAAAGACTCAAAGATGCGTTTGCCAAGAAAAGGCTGCCGTGAAATGAACAAATAGCGTCATAGAATTGGACTGGATGAATGCAACAGTAGTCAGTAGTCAGTAGTCAATAGACACATACACATACACAAATGAAAGGGGTATGAGTGACTGTCTAAAACACAACAACAACGTATGTACCTATCTATTGATGGACAGACAGTTTCCATTTTCGCGTCGTTGAAATGAGGCCATTCATTAATCGAACGACCGGTTCCTCCAGTACTCTTACTATAAATGACAAACCCAAAACTCTCCTGGAAAAAAAACACACAACTTTTGCTTTTGCTTTTGCCCAAAGAGTTCAATCTTTTTTAGGCTACTGACAGGCTCCTCCTCCTCCTCCCTTCCATGGAATTCAACTTCCGATCTCTCGACAAAAGGTCGCCTCCGCCGCTGCCTTCCACCCTCGGCTACTTCTCCCAACATCCACACGCATTGCGAGGTTCACTGTTTTCTTTCTTGCTCAGACTCAGAAACCACAACAAGAAGAAGAAGAAAACATTCTTCATTCTAATTTCTCCTCTTTTCTTTTCTCTCATCTTTATTTTGCTTACAAATCCAATTCAATTCCATTTACTCCTCACTTTTCTCCACCTCTCAACAGCAACACAACAAACACAAACAGCTGCGATGATCGAGCGCCAGCTGGAGAAGGAGAAGATCAGGGAGGAGATCATGGCGGCCGAGAGACGGCGACTTCTCGAAGCCGAGGTCAGAAGAGAGCTCATGCTCGAGCGAGACATCGCTATGCGAAGAGCTGCCGCCGCCGACGGCCTCGCTTTTGATCACCACCCCCGACTCCTCCACCACTCTTTGGATCATGACCGCTTCGCAACTTCTCTCATCAACAACCACAACTTAATCCCACTGGTCAGTGTCAGGCGCCTCATTTCTACTTGTTCTTTTTTTGGATTTATTTTAATTTTAATCTCTATTTACACTGCATTTCTTTCTGGTGGTGGGAATATTAAGACACAGTACAAGGTTTATATCGGTTTGCTAGGTCTGGTAGTCCTTTTGCTTGTGGATCGGCACTTTAAAAGTCAGTTCCAATGGAGCATCATAGTCATTCATTACTTAGATTGTGATTTCCTTCATAAGTTTACTATGACTTTTTGTTGTAGTTGACACACATCAATCAAATTGATCAAGGTACACAACAATCTCAATTAATGGCTCTGCTGATCCTTGCAAATTGATTTTTCATTTGTCGGTTCGCTTGGAGAAGCCTACCTTCCTTAATTATGTATTTGCAGCAATCCCTTCCCTTGTTCTAGTGTGGCCTAAGCCTTGTGTGAGGTACCATGTCTCTTGTTTTTTTTTTTTTGTGGGTTTTGTCAAAACTTGGGAAACCTATATTCCTTTGCAATTAACCCAACACCTTGAAGATTACTTTTGGCCAAAAACAAAAGTGAGTAACAAATTTGGGGACTCCTGTTCTCATATGTTGGCTGAGTTGTGCAACAACAACAATGTATGTATTTCAAAATTGCCAGTTGACATCTTGCGGATTTCGTAAACTGCATTTTATTGCGACTTTGATTTTTTTCTATTTAAGATTACACAAGAAGTTGTTTTCTTTTGTTCATTCCATATTTGTGAAAGCAGCAGAGAGGGTGGTGCAGTTCACATTGGAAATACTGTTGAGGTTTTTACCATCAATCAGATATTTAATATCAAGACTCTTTTCATATACCGTGTATAAGTACTCTGTTGCAGGCTAAACCTGGCCCAATTCTTTCTGGAGTCAAGCGGAAAACACCACCAACAGCCGGTGCTAGTGAGCTGCCTCCAACTGGGTTGAAGAAGAAACCCAAGGAGATATGGAGTTGCGCTATGTGCCATGTTAGTGCAAGAAGTCAGAAAGTCTTCAATCAGCACCTTAATGGTAAGAAGCACAAGGCCAATGAAGCGAGACTGAGAGCTCAGAAACTGGGCAAGAGCTCCAGTAGTGCACCATTGTCAAAGCAAACTGCAAAGTTTTCTGAGCCCGAAGAAGTAACGGAATCGCTCGACCCCAGTGATGGTTTAAACGAGAAAATGCAGGATGCATGCACTTCAAAAGAGAAAAAAGAGGAACTGCCAATGCAGAAAGACCAGTGTCGAGAGGATTTAAAGATCAAAGATGAGGTAGAAATGGTGCGGGGACCGGGAAGAAAAGAAGCAGTGAGAAAGAAGAAATTTAAGTTTTGGTGTGAATGGTGTAAAGTTGGTGCTTACTCTCCAAAAGTGATGTTAGCCCATATGACAGGGAAGAAGCACATCGCGAGGCGTCAGGAGGTTACACAAAGTAATGTTCCAATTGCAAGTTCCCTGGCATCGTCAGTGGAGGCTAGTAAGGAGGCAGAAGATGTTGATGCGGCCAAAGAAGCTCATGAGAAGATTCCAACAGAAACTGCCATGTCATCATCAGGGACTAGTGCCAATGGGAAGGCAGAAAATGCTGTTCTGACCAAAGAAGCAAACAATACTGCCAAAATTGTTGTTGCAGATACATTCGATGGTGAATAACTAGTTGTGGAGAGGGGCATGATTTGGAGATGAGTTTGGTATGTCAACTTTCTGTGTTTTATTCCAAATTCGGGTTGTAGCGGCTCAGATTATTCTTTCTTTATAGTTCATGTGGTTGTGATGTATAATTTGATGAGGTACCGCCAAAACCAATTTAATTATTTGGAAAACCAATCTAATTTGATGCTTAAAAGGATTTATGGGGATGTATGATTCCAGGAAATAGATTTGATGATATTGAAGGCTTGTGAATCAGAGGAATTTATTAGATTAAGAAACAAGTTGATCAATCAACAATCCTTTTTTCATTTTCTTATATTTTGGCTCCACGAATCAGGTTTATACCAAAACAAATCCTCTTCTTCACCACAGACGAGAGGACACAGAAAAGTGCAACGAAGAAATGGAATTTGAGGCTACATTGCTATGAATTATGGGCTGACAGTGACCGACTAAAATCTGTACAGGCAGGCATCATGACTCATGAGAGATATTCCAACAAACGAAAGAAGACATAAATCAATAGAAAGGGAGATCCCGATCTGTCCATGCAGAAGACACAAAACACAAGACAAACACAGCCAAAGAGGTCATTGATTGAAACTTGAAAAAATACTGGGGACTTAAGAACTAGTTTACCATTGTGAGGTCTGTCTCAAGCCACATCATGCAAACCTCTAAATGAGTAATATGCTCTGGACAATTACGTAAAACAGAACTTAAAAGCCCCATAGCTAAACACGCCTCTCCAACCAACCATTACTTGATTTAACAAGGCAAACCAACCATGAAGCATTCTGAAAAGAAAAGCATTAATCTTTCACCATCAGCTTCTCCTTTTCTCTTTGAATTCATCTACAGCCGGCTACTTGGGATTTGGAACTGGACGGAGAAAAGAAACAAAATTTGGAATATCTTACAACCCGATGATTGCAATACATACGTGAATTCCATCTATATCCTCAGCAAACTTGCAACATTCATCAACACAGAGCAAAGATACAATTAATTCCATCATTTCATCCGTATAGTATACACTCGATATGTATTACTATCAGTCTCTCATTACTTTACAAAGATGAAAATCAAAGAAGCATAGCAGTTTAATTGTATCTTTGCCACATCAAGGCGAACTTTCCAACCCACCCCACTCCAACATCTATCATCTTCAATGGTAATTCTCTAAGAAAGAAATCAAACCCTTAAAGCCACCTGATCTTGCCAAGTAATCTTCCTCTTCCCTGATCGATTTGACCCATTCCCAATCGTCCTGCAAACCAGCAACTTCATATCACTGTGCTGCTCATCATTTCCCCCTCTAAGTAAACTTTTGTTCGGCTCTTCTATCCTCAATGGTTCACAATTAGCTTGGAATTCCTCCTCCTCCTCTCTCTGTAACAAAATGAAACAACGGAAACATCAAACCTCACAGCAAAGAAGCAGCACCAAGACTCAAAATCACACTACTTAGAACATTTACTATTTGATTACCGAAATCTGGTTCAAGTCAAAAACTGGAGTACTCTTTCGCTTTGTCGATGATTCCTTCACTATCTGTATCCTTTCCTTCTGGTTTAAGTCAAAGTTTGGAGTTGGTTTTTGCATAGTAGCTTCCTTCCCGCTAAGAGCCCTCGCCTTCTGGTTTAAGTCAAATTTTGGAGCAGATTTTCGCAAGGTGTCTTCCATTCCATGATTAATCCGTTCCTTTTGGTTTAAGTCTAATGCATGATTAATCCGCAAAGCAGATTCCTTCTTACTGTAACTCCTTCCCTTCATAATGTTGGTGCGCTGGGTTTCAAAATTGTGTGTTCTCACCACATCTTGCTTCTGTCGAGAGTTCATGGACTGGTTCCCCATTAAGTATTTGTATCTTCTACTCAAAAATCTGCAAAGTCAAGAGATAAACAACTACCAAGTCAACTTTTTTCCTCTTTTACTTCGGCCAAGTAAAATCTATGCCATCTCACAAGTGTAGGACGGCATGGACAATATGGTATACCTTACTTCGGCCAAGAGGGTAGACTTTTTCTGTTTCATCATTTGCAATTTCTTCTTCATGGCCTCTGCATCCTGCAGAAGGAATGATGCTTAAATTACATAAATCCAGCTCTGACTGCCTCAATGTCATAAGCCAAAAGCATCACAATCAGCAAGAGAGAGAAAAAGCGAAGATGAAGCAAAGTAGGATCTGCTATGAAAAATTTCACAAAATTAAGAAGAAAAGGGTACCAAATAATTGTAGAAACCTAGACAACAAGATAGTTAAAGACTCACCAAGCGATAGAAATTCAAACAAGTTAAATACACTACATACAAGTCCCAAACAAGGAGAGAGCCTACTTACTCTTAAACAGGAGGACTAAAATTATAATTAGAGAAAAACACCAAATGATCTTAAACAAAAAACAAAAGGTAGGAAAACAACAGAATTAAAAAGACCACATCGCCCCCTCCAAGTAAAGAGTGAAAAGAACTCCTTGAGATGTGCCTAATAGTACTAATTAGCTTAGTTTTGGAGGGTTGTTCATTATTCTACAAACAAAGGTTAACATAAACATAATTACAAAGTTCCATTTCCTGTTCGTTTTCCAATTTTTCTCTGGCAAGTCACATAGACAGCAGGAAATGAAACAAAGGGAGATCAGAAACCTACTGAGACAATAAGAAAAAAAACCCGAAATTTAGCTAAGCAATTCTTACTGGTTTGAAACCCAAAAGAAATAATAGACATGAATGAGATCCAAAATATTTGATTTCTCCTTTCATTCTCAAATCGCTCAGCGGCCAAATAACCATAAATAATCCAAAGCTAGGTAAACCAGAAATCATAACCAAAACCCAAAAAATATAAAAAAATTGAATACAACACACCAGATCTAATGAAACCCACAAAAGAAATTCGGCATATTATGAAAACCCACAGAAGATACATACCTTCTGCAGCTCTTCATAGTCTTGCATGAGACTCTGATGCTTGAATCTAGTCCTTGGATCCTCGTAACCAGCATATGAAGAAGGCTCCATAGCAAGAATCCCTTTCATCTTCTTCATCAGATCACAAAGAGATATAACAACCCACAAGCCAAAAACCAAGAATTAAAGGGGGAGAGAAAGAGGGACACAAGGAGATGGGTATGAAAAAGAAAGAGAGAGTTGGACAAGAAATAATAAAAAGAGGGTAGAGAGAAACAAGAAGGACAAGGAAGAAAAGAAAAGGAGAGAGAGTGAAGGGAAGGGAGGAGAAGTTTCTTGCTTTCCTGTTTTCTCTGTGAAACTCTGACCAAGACAACAAAAACCCAAAAGAGCCCACATAACTCGGTGAAAAATAATGTTCTTTTGAAAGACAGTGATGAAGATGGGATTTTTTGGGGGGTTGCAGAAGGGTATTTCTGGCAACATGTTTTAAGAGAGAGAGTTTGTGAGGTGGGTTTGGTTGGAGGACATTTGAAGACATCTATCTTCTCTTTCTTTTCTTTCCCCTTCTTTCTTTCTTTTTTGTTTTTCTTCTACATAAATTTTGGTCCAGCTGGGCCATTGAAGAGAGAGAGAGAGAGAGTTGGGTGTGGTGTGGACTCTTCTTTGTTTTTGATGGGGAAGGGTGTGCGTGTAACTTCAATGTTCCTTCTTTCTTTGGATGTGCGTTTTTCTCTGTGATGAGAGAGAAAGATTGGTTTTTTAGAGAGATAAAGAGAGAAAGATTGGTTTTTTTAGAGAGAGAAAGAGTAGGCATTGAAGATGGGGCTGATGATGAAAAAAAAGGGCAGAAGATAAATGAGATGTTGCTGTTTTCTGATGTGCTGTTGCAGTTGTAGGTATTGGTAGTACCTTAATTTTAGGCTATGGATTAGGTTGGTTTGGGTAGTAGTGATGGTGGTGTGTATGAAATAATGGAGGAGATGCTTTTCATTATGTAAATATTTTAATTTATACTGGTTGGTCAATTCTTATTTACTAGAAACCGCCTCTGGTTTTCTTTGATTCAAAGGATGCTCTCTGTCTCTCTCTCATCTCATCTTTTCTGTTTTTACCCAAACAAAGCTTTTTGAAGATCTTGCAGATAAAAGAAGAACACCACCCAATTTTGGCTTCAAGCCAGTAACAAAGTTGCCAAAAAATCAAAATTCTATCAATCAATGGCTTTTTTTTTCTATTGGAAGGGATTATTCGACGGCAGACACTCTCTCTCATACCGTACGAGGGTAAATTGGTAATATCACGTCTTCAATGGAAAAGATGCCATTTACACCATCACTCTAGAGACCTACGTTCTGGAGACTTTTTGTGTAACAGCAGCTGCCTACCTCCCTAAGCCATTTAGCCACTACAGTTGATGGAACTGCTTCATGGAGCCACAGAAGTTCTGTTTCTAACTACCAATTTTCCCTTTTGTCCCTCAGAAACTTCACGGCAGACTGGGGACCATTTGGTAATTGCAAATCCTACTCTTAAAGATTGGCTCTTTTTTGTGCAGAGAGCCCTTGGCTTGCAGGGCAGCTGAGGATTGAAGTGAGGAAGACATGAGACAGTAACAAACTTTGTCGGCCTGCCTGCCTTCCCTTTTGTTTAAAAATTGAATTTTCAAGAATAAAGATAGTTTTTGGATGCATTTAACAGTTTGTTATGTTTAGAGAGAGAGAGAGAGAGAGAGAGAGGATTTTTGCCTTTTGATCCGCTTTTCCCAATACTCGTATTAATTAATTCCAACAGAGAGGCGGATGTAATGGGATGTGGACTTTTTGTTGTCGTTGTTACTTCTTCTTCTTTCTTTTCATGGGCTCAAAGGCCTGGTCCTGGTAGAATTTCTGTACTGTACACACATAAATATACAGCAGGTCTAATCTGAGGGTTTTTGAGTAATTTGGTGGCAATTGCTTGCATTTGGGTTTAGCTGCAAAAGCCAAAAGGTCAAGGTGTGAAATCCAAACAGGAATCAAATGGCATCGCTTGTTGTTGATTTATGACAAACAAACAGTATAAAGGAGAGAAATTTGAGAAACAGTCTTTACTTTATTATGCAGGAAAGAAGGAAACCACAAAAATTTAAAGAGGAAACTGCCGAAAACGTTCAACATGAGTATGACCATGCCCACGGACTTTTTGGGTTGGATTTGGACAAGTCAAGCCACCACCACCCGTTGACATCGTCATCTCCTTCAATGTTGATTTACAAGCTTCCGCTCGTTTGCGTGAAAAGTTAATGGTAAGATATTTTTATGGGGGATTCAAACATGAAATGGATCAGACTGTTTTAAGTAACAACTAAAAAGTTAAAAAGAAAATACCAGAGAGAAGCAAAAAGCCCTCCAATCCCACTACACGTGTTTTCCCTCCACTGGACCGTCATCAAAACCAGTTCAACTCGTCGTGAAGCCACATCAAAGAAATACCTCGACTTTATCTATCTGTCGCTTGGTTGGTACCAGGCAAGCAATGGCGTCGACGATTTCTCTGTACCACCTTCTGACTCTCCCGCTGTAAGTCTCTCTCTCTCGCTCTCTCTCTCTCTCTCTGTATATAATTTATGTGTTTGGTTGCTAAGAAAAGTAGGAGATTGATCAAGAAAATCTGTAGGATACGAAATGTTGTTGTTTATGTTTCCAAGTTACGTAGAAAAGGCAACTATTTAGAATTTTTGTTTTTTCAGTTTATCTCCAGCGGAAATTTGTCAACTTTATAAGCTGTGTGTGTGAAAGATGGGTAATTTATAATTTTTTTATTTTTTATTTATGGGTATTATAGTATGATGTTCATATTTTTACTCATGAGTGAAATGAAAAGCATTTCACCGATTACACTGATTAGAAAAGCATTTGAAATTTTTTATTTCTTAGAATGTCATAGGCCTAGAGAATTTTGGCATATGTTTCTTCGTTCTGCTGTTTGCTTGTTAGTATCTTGTTTATGATCTTACATCTGTTGGTTCTTACTCTTCTCCTCCTGGTTACCGACACTTTGGGCATATTCAGATATCTGTCCTTGTTAATGGTCTTTTTGGCGGAAAGAAAGAAAATAATGAGAACAATGATGATGCGCCTTCAAAGGTTAGTCTTTGCTTTTTGTGTATATATAGTCAAGTAATCTGGGATCAAGTTTGCTTTTTGGTCTATCTAGTCAAAGTTGTATATATTTTTAACATAGAGGAAGGTTTTTTAGTAGCAACCTTTCAGCTCAACTAACTAAACATAACCTCCTATTTTAACTTACAACTTAGCCAACTTTTCTCAACCCCAAGCATACATGGAGTTTGATTACTGAACATATGGAATAAACTGCAAAGAACAGCCACTGTTTTCTTATGATTCTGATGCATCATCTTACCCCATAGAAGGCTGCACTTTATGCGTTTAATTCGATCAACATCTCTAGGTATACATGAGTGTAACATGTGGGTGTGCCTGTTAGTTGGTTCCAGTATTTTGGTTATATTTTCTGTAATTCTAAATATGTATGTAATTATGATGCCAGTTTCATACTCCCATCATCTGTTAATTAAACATTAACTTTAATCATGCTAATTGATTTTAGGCAGGAGGTCTTGGAAACATGCAAAATCTATAGGAGACTGTGAAGAAGGCACAAATGGTTGTCCAAGTTGAAGCAGTGTGGGTGCAAAAAGAACTTGCTGTGTATGAGTAATTATGAAATACACTGTCAACATACATTTTTTCTTGTGTATGAAATCCTCAGTTTTTTCCCCAATTTTGTTGTGCTGTAATGCAGAGCAAAGTTTGATGGTTACTGTGAAGGGGAGTTAATAAAGGTCTCTCTCTCTCTCTCTCCCTCTCCTTCTCTTCCCTTTGGGTATTTAATGGTGAAGATCCTTTAAGCGAGCTCCAGTATTTGTATTAGCTTTGTGAAAACTTTGCCTTGATGAAATGACATACAAATATGGAATTTTCACTTTACTTTGGGTTTAAGAAAAAGATATTTCTCCTCTGATAGTTCACTAAAGCTACCAGTGGATGACTATATTGTTCATGGACATCTCATTGCATATTTGTTTCTTCAGCTCTGTCTCAACTCTTGAAATTCCGCTCTTTTATTTAATCATAACAGAAAATGATTCATGATTTGCTCGAGACTTTATTTGGGTCGCATAAGTTCCCAACTTAAGTTTTGCAAAAGTTTCTAACTGATGTTACTCTTTAGGTTACTCTGTCTGGGAACCAGCAACCTGTTCGCACGGAGATTACTGAGGCTGCAATGGAATTAGGACCAGAAGTGAGTAATACTATCAGATGATATGAAAACTATCTTTCCATTGTGCTTCTTATCTATGACAGATAAAATTCTAGTTCACTTTGAGACTAAATATTTCCATAATTTTTATGTACACAAATTTTTGTCGGCACTTTCTCTTGATTTTCCACAATACTGCCCTTATCTGATGACCCACACATAACTGTCTTGTTGACAATTTGGAAGCTATCAGGTGTGATTTGAGAATCCCTGGTTCGATAGATGAAAATTTTAGGGTATGAAAAAGTGGCTGAATTGACTGGAAATATGGCCTCTTTTGGGGAACATTGGGATGAAAGGTGGAAATTTGGATATCTGTTATTTGTGATGGAAGGATGCATCAGGTAAAAAACTGGATAAATTGGATGAATAACTGTTTATTATGAAAGTATGGGGTCATACTTGAGTGTGTTCGTATTTTGAAACCAATGGTGGGAAATGTTTGCATATGCTATTTTTTCGGCTTAGTTGTAGTGATCCCACGAAACTGATATGAATGTTTGATAAGAACACATTTATATGTTTAACTTTTCATTTTAATGCAGAAACTTTCGCTTTGAATTACTGAGGCATACAAGGATGCACACCAGAAGAGTGTCCAGGTGAGAAATCCTTTCTTTTTAGTATGTTTATTTTCCTCTGCACTTCATCCATTTTTGGGCATACCGAAATGAAATTCTTCTTTTGTCGT